AAAAAAAAAAAAAAAAACATAACTACCTTTATAGCACATTAACTTTACTACTAATATAAAACATAAGTACGTTTATTTAATGAGAAAATTACTCCACATACTAGCTAAAACATAAAATATTACATATATACTAACATAAATTTTTATTTGCAAACATACGCAATCTGACATAAATGTTTGCATACATACCATATTTTCTCAAATTTTAACTTATCTTTTTCAAAATATGATTATTAAGGTAGTTGCATGCACTTGGTAACTGCCCTAATTTAATGGGATTTCTCTTTCCACGTTGATTTTTCTTTCCTCTTTGACGCCATTGTTGTACATCATCACTATATTTTTCCTTGAGAAATAATAGCATAACTAATGGCGAAAAGAGACCACCCACATGGGCCGCCGCCACGGGCGATTCCATCCGAGCAAGATCTTTGGCGACCCCCCTTTGTTTGTACTTGCGTCGGGCAACCTGGATGAAGCAGGCTGCCCACGTGCGCCGGCCATAGCCGGCTCCTTGGGGAGGCAAGCTAGGCCATGCCTAGGGCCTCCATTTATTTAGGGCCTCATTTTTTTTTTTTAATTTTTTTTAGAGTATTATGTATTTGTGGTGGGCTTGGCCTATTTACACAAATAAAGAGTTAATAGCTAAATATGGACTTGGTTCATTACACAAATGAAAGGACTAATGACAAAATATGTACTCTGTGCGAGAATTTGAGACCCTAAATATTTCATTTGTTTCCTTATGATGTCCGGTCAGAACAAGTTGTGCAAGAATAAATATTCTTAGCAGTGATATGATTTTTATTTTTTTCCCCTTGTGTCCCCGTGACTGCTTGAATATAATTTATTAAAGATCTTTGTAATCCAAAGGTAAGTTTTCAGTTCCAATATCTAATAAAACAAGAAAATTTGTTATTTTTTTCAATTATTTATTTATTTAATAGTCTTGTTTAATTAGGTTTTTTCTTCCATGATTCTATCTGCAAATAGCCCTAATTACCACACAAAGTCAAAATGAAAAATTCAAAAATAGAAACTTGTATGGGGCCTCCATATTTCTAGAGACGGCCCTGGCGCCAATGATGGGAGTAAAACTGAAAATTTGTTGTAGTCGCTTGTTGTGGAGGCGGGAAGCTGGTTGACCACGAACTTTAGGTCGTCAGCTCACAGAGCAAAGGCCTCGACCTCGACAAGGCCCACACAGTTCACGTGGATGGCGGGAGGCTAGTGGCTGCCGACCTTGGGAGGAGGGCCCACACAAGAAGCTCCTCTCCGCAAAAGTCTCCCAGCCGGAGAGTGATGGAGTTGAAGAATCCCGGTCGGCCGCCGTTGGTGGCAGAGCTTTTGAGTCTGCGACATGCGGATAGTTTCGACCGAATCTATTTTTAATATACATATAATGTTTATAGTTTATGTTTAGTATATTAATATATTTCTTGTTGAGGAAATTGATATGAGACAAATGCACAATTTTTTTTATTGTTTTTGTTTTTGGATATTCATATTAGTGTTTTTTTTGTTTCAATTTTATTTACAGTTCTCTCGTGTGTTTATGTTTTTGGTGTTGAGTTATTTTTGTGAATGGATATTCTGAGTATAAACACAACATATACAAATAATATTCTTTGACCAGTGAAATTTTTTATCGGTCATCTCTCTTCTCTCCTCATCGCCGCCATCCTCTCCGACAACATCTGCCCCGCCACTGCCAATTTCTACTCAAACATCACTGCCATCATTTATTCCCTCGTCCCGCCATCGCCAATCTCGTCGGTTTCAAAAGGGGGAAAAATCAGCCGACCTGGACCGCCAATCTCCTCTTTCATGCCATTGTTGTAAATCTTCATTCAAATGTACACTTTTATTATATAATTATTGGCTATTGTCTCTTTTAATTTTATATTTAGTTTATTTGTAATTTATTACGAGTTTATACTATCAAATCTCGTGCATGACTAAAAAAACGTGTTCATATATCAAACATAAACAATTAATAATCGTCAAATAAACATTGAAACCCAAAATTCACATAAAATACACACCCACAACTTCTCAAACAAACCCCCAAATTCATGATTCTCTGGAACTGTAGAAATCTCCCAAACGAGATACATTGAAATCATCCCGATCGGCACAATCTTGGACGTAAGAGCACGTTTTTTCTGTCAATCTTTTCAGGAGTGTAACATATATTTATTCATTACTATTCAGTTCTGATCAAACCTGTTCAGTGTTGGATAAAAGTTAGCAGCAAAATTTATAAAATGCACAACATACTCCCCTTTCAAAACAGGTAATTTTGACATCTTTATCTGCAAAAGCAAAGATATTGCCACTCATTTTACAACACTCGTAAAAGAGAAGTCCAGAAGCCTTTAGTTCCAGGGTTGCCCCTCGATTTTTATCGTAAGACAAAACACAACTAGGAAATAAATTTATCCAAAGCAGAAGTATCCAGTGCATGAAACTCTCTAACAGCAGAAAGAACCACAAGACCTAGCTTTACAGCTTCTTCTTTGCTTGGTGCCTGCAAGATTGGTTTTTTTTTTTTTTTTTCACCAATCAGTTCCTTTTTTTTTTTGTTTCATGCACTAAAAAATTGTGTATAAAAAATCGTAGAATGGTATGAATTTTCACCTCGATGTTGAGGGGCAAAACAGGGTCGTGAAGCGAGAGTCTCAAAAGGAACCATCCTCCATAGCCCGACACCCTTACCTGTTTTATGAAGGAAATAAAGGAAACAGCAGTCCAATGTAATGCTGAGTATAGTATCAAAAAAGGCACAAGACATAGTAATGAAGAACACACCTGATTGGCTACTGTATGATATAAATAGGGATAGGGAAAAAAAAAAAAGGGAAATACCATCCCCAGGAATTAACCTTTTTTATTTCCCTCCTTTGTCAAACAAGGTCCACAAGAGAACCTGATATTTTATTTTACCGAGCACCCCTTCGATTAGGTTGTATTTTGGAAAAAAAAAAAGAAAAGAGAGAGACAAAGTACCGACCAAGCGACTAAAATTCGAAAGGTAATTGGAACTTCTGTAGTTAGACTAAACCTCAAAAATAACATTTGTAATAATCACTAAGATATATA